GCCTGATGATCGTTTTGGTCGCACCCGTATCCAACAGCATGGTCCGTAACTCTCCATCCACGAAACTAGCCACAAAAATGCTGTTGAACTTGTGTTGTAGCGATGCGACTTGAACAGTTTTCGTTGGAACCTGTTGGGTACTGCTCCATATGTGTCCCTTTGATTCGACACTTGGCGAAACCGAGTCCACGTCTTTTTCTTGACAGTGACTTCTTACGTGTCCTGCCTGGCCGCAATTCCAGCAACAAGTCGGTCCTTTCTTGCCCATGTACTCCTCCATGACTTTCCGTACAATGCTTTCCACGGATTTGTCGGAACATTGGTTGACCGCCCGTACTCTCACTAGAGACCGAGAACTGTTTCGCGGCCTCAAATTCTAGGGCACGTGCTAAAGCATCCACCAAGCGCGTTGGGTGGGCTAGAAGAAGCGCTTGCCTTGTCTCCCTGTCACGTAAGCCATCGGAGAATGTCTGTACTGCCAACCGCTCCATAACATTCTCGGGCGTAGCAGGATACGCAAGGCGAACCAGGCGGGCTACGTCGGCTTCAAACTCCTGCAGAGACTCATTTGACTTTTGAATGCGATTTTTTAGCTGTGAATGATAGACATGTTCCAAATGAGCTTGGCCGTACCTCATTTCTAAATGTCGTACCAATTGCTGATAATCTCCCTGTTCCGATGGTGACAATGTCTGCAGGATATCAGTCGCATCTCCTCGCAGTGCGACAGTCAAAGCGGTAGCCTTTTCAGCGATTGTCCATCCGTTCGCTCTCGCAGCGGTCTCAAACTGGCAAAAATAATTGGCCCAAGCGGTTTTTCCGTCAAACTGTGGAGGCTTAATAACTGACTTTGAGATATACTTATTTTCGACTAGTTTCTGTGCCTCCGATGTTTCTTGACATTTTGGTGAATTTGCCTTTGCTATTTCTTGTTTTAAAATTTCGATTTTTTTATTTACATCGTCCTCAATTTGTGTTATTTTGTCTTGTAGCTCCGTAGAATTCTTTATAATCTTTTCTTCTAATTCCCTGGAATTTTCTGTTATCTTTTCTTCTAAATTAAGTATTTTATTATTAAAGCTGGCCTGTATGTCTTTAGAATTTTCTGCGATCTTATCTTCTAAAATATTAATTTTATCACTGATTTTCTCTCTAAATTAACTTCCAAGTCAATTATTTTACTATTCAAATTGTTCAAGTTGTCGTCTAATTTTTGAGAATTCTCTGTCATTTTATCATTCAAACTGTCTTCTAATTTTTGTAAGGACTAGTCAAGGTCACCTTCCAACTCAAAGCAAAATGTGTCAGAATCCTCACTTTCCTCCACCAAAACGTCTCAGTCTAGCTTGCAAAATGCTTTTCTTACCATCTGTCTCGCACTCTCTCTCTTCCAGTATACATTTTAATTCCGACACTTTCAAGTCTTTCAACAATTTTTTGGGAGCCATTGTCTGTCTTTTTATTTTCCTGGTCTATCACACACGCCACACTTGACACCAATTGTTACGTTTTTCGTCGGTTCCGTGTGGATAGAAAGTCACAATTTATTTAAACACTATTTATTTAACACTAATTAACAAAAACAATAACGATAAAAGCTTATAGAACTATTTACAAACGATTTATAACTAAGTATTTATTTTGAACTTTAGCGCGTCAACTGTACTGTTTATTTATAACTGCCCCCTGTAGGCCACAGCCGCCGGCTTTTATACCGACAGGTAAAGAACTCTAGAATAGTCCATAGATCGTTTGGTGCGTAGAGAAGGTTTTCGAATGTTCTCGTATGTACTAGTCCATTCCAGTGGGACTCGATTCTTCTCGAACGAATGAATCATTACGGTGTCTATTCATTAATGCGATGTTAAGGTCATGTGAGGGCGGGACATATAGTTAGGTTAGGTCGAGTTCACACGGGTCCGCAACAATATGTATAAGCAGAATTAAACAAGGTAAGTGTTAATGTTGCTGAAGCCGATTCTACAATTTTAATTACGGAGGCTAAAAGGTTTTTTAAGGCCTCCGTAGTTTTCATGGAATGTAAAAAAAAACTATTATGAACATGACATGGAGCTACAGCATTTAAAAATTAAAAAAAAAAAGAAAAAACTTGGACATATCCCTTTTAATTTCCCGAATTTTAAAAAAAAGCACTTTTTAAACGTAGCATAATAATCTAGAGCAATTAGATTAATTATAGGAATCTAGAGTTTTATTTCTATTTAATTTTATTGACTATGAAAATACATAATAAGCGTTCACGTTTCACGTGTTGTGCAAAATATTAAAATAATAATATAAATAATATACCGCTAGTACTATGATTGAAAAAAATAGCGTCAGGGATGACTATGAAATGCAGATCGTTGTCATTTTATATGGGAAATGTCCTCAATCGTCATTTCCCGGCCAACTGGACGCCGTTTTTTCGATCATACTGTATATATTGACAAAAAAACACTGAAAAGCACATATTTGTTTTCTACTGAAAATAATTCCAAAATAACTTGCAACCTGGCAAGATCGAAGATGTACGCATGCGGAGTGTCTGTGACTATATGCAGCAAAAACTCGTTTTAAGGTCAGCCACCGGATCCACACCATCATCACACTATTACCAATTGTCTTGATAATCAGTCCACTGCAACTGTTAAATAAATTTTGCATTATCGACTTAGATATTCTAATATTGGTAATGGTGTGGATCCGGTGGCTGACCTTGAAACGAGTTTTTGCTGCATATAGTCACTGACACTACGCATGCGCACATCTTCGATGTTCCAGATTGTGAGTTATTTTGAAATTATTTTCAGTAGAAAACAAATATATAAGCCAGTGTTTTTTTGTCAATATATACCGTATGATCGAAAACGGTCCAGTTGTCTGGGAAATGACGATTGAGGACATTTGCGAGCTATATGCAGCAAAACTCGTTTCGGTCAGCCACCGGGTCACCATTACCAAATTTTAAATTGTTTTCCGTTACTCAGTATGAAAGATTTGTGGTGTGGATCCGATGAAACAGTTTTTGCTGCATGAACACTATGCGCACATCTTCGATGTTACCGAACAATCAGTGTTTTGTCAATACCGTATGATCGAAAAACACATACGTGCTCGTGTTGATCGAAGCGACGGTGAGAACGACTGCTGTAAAATGACAGCGATCTTCATTTCATAGTCATCGGTGACGCTATTTTTTTTTATAGTATGCGGTATATTATTTATATTATTATTTTAATATTTCGCACAACACGTGAACGCTTATTATGTATTTTCATAGTCAATAAAATTATATAGAAATAAAACTCTAGATTCCTATCTAGATTATTATGTTACGTTTAAAAAGTGCTTTATTAAAAATTCGGGAAATTAAAAGGGATGTGTCCAAGTTTTTTCTTTTTTTTAAGCTGTAGCTCCATGTCATGTTCATAATAGTTTTTTTTTAACATTTCATCAAAACTACGGAGGCCTTAAAAGGCCTTTTAGCCTCAGCTTCAGCAACATTAACATCATCAGTTACCTTGTTTAATTCTGCTTATACATATATTGCATTCATTTTTCTGCTACATTAAGATTTCTCTATTCTTACACCTAATTTATGTGATTTTCTTAGCATATATGATTTATAAACCATATTTTTCCTAATGGAAGGATGGAATAGGATATGCAAAATTAAGATATTTTAACTTTTATTTTCCAGACCAAGCATAATATATAGTATTAAGATTAAGACATAACAAATATTATAAGAAAGATCTTAATATAAATCACAAACTAAGTCTTAATTTAGTCTTGAATTTCTATTATTATTATTATTCTTATAAAACTAATAAGATCAAAACTCAACCTTCACCATATTGTCAAGATTTGGCATTATAGGAAACAAGAAATTAAGTAAATTAAGAAAAGAATATCAAAGTACACGATATTAAATACTGTAATGTATTCTACGGTACAAACCATCTCCCTTCTAAAGAGAAAAAGATAAAACATAAAGCTTATTTTAGTCTTATCAATACACACTCTTCGATAAAATATATGTCTAAAATTGCTATTAATCCACTAACTTGATATTTTTAAGAAATTATGATACAAACATTAATTATAATCAAAGTATATTATATTAGTAACATTATAGGTAAAATGTTACCTCTATCTCCGATTGACGTTTATTGTTCTATAATAAGACCCGTCATGATAGTACTTCAAAACATCAATACATGCATATAATCAAAAATATTGTTGCCTGTAAATAACTAGAAATTAAATAACTTGAAAGAAATAAAATAATTCTACTTAATAAGTTTAAAACCATTAAGAAAAAATCCGTAAATGATAAATTTTAATTCTAATGTAAACATATAAATAAATGTTATTATTAATACCATTTTATATATTATAATACTTTCATTTCACAATCTTCATTATCCTTCTTACCTTAATTTTGGATATCAAGATAAATCTGAAATTATAGAATTTGTATTATTATTGATTAACACGCAAAAAAAAATTTTCAACTGCAAATAATTCTTTATTTTCGAATTATTTGCAGTTTATCTGCAATTTGGCAACATCGACGATGTGCGCTTGCGTAGTATCGATGATCAAAAGCAGCAAATATGGGCTTCAAGGTCAGCCACCGGATCCACACCGTTACCTAAAAAAATATCATTTATTGTTTTTATTGTTAATCTAAGATTTATTGGAAACTTTTTGGCAAATCGTATAATATAATATCCAAAAACCGTTATTTTCAAATAGAAATCCCTAGGTGTCGTGTCCCTAGTATAATGTTACAGTTTCGAACATCTTATCTTGGTATAATAGAAGTTATACCTAAATTCTAGTCTTTATTATTATCTTTAAACCAGAATAATATGGTGACATAATAAGTTAAATTTGCTAACAAAATCATATCTAATTTAAGAATATAAAATTTTGAATATTTAAAATTTAAATTAATCTCTAACGGAAATACGCACAGCTGTCAACTTGACTAGCGTCGTTATTTCCTTCCTCCATTTTTACCGCTTCTTTGGACGGACTCGTCGGCCATTCCCACTGTTTTTGTGAAAAGTTTTGTGTTCTGTTTGTTTGAAGTAATAGATTTTGTGGATTCCAACTGTCCACAACGTGTAGTTAATCCATTATAGTACATATTAAATTCACTTTTGAAAAATGGGTGACGAGAAAAAGGTAATGCAAGTAACAATTCTGTTTTAACCAAACATTTTCAAGTTGAGTTTTTGTATTAGATGACAGCATTGTTTTAAATTGTTGTAGGGAAATGAAGCTGAACACATTAACTTAAAAGTATTGGGACAAGATAATGCAGTGGTTCAATTTAAAATCAAAAGACACACGCCCTTAAGAAAACTTATGACTGCTTATTGTGAACGAGCTGTGAGTATTTTTGTATGCCCGCTTCATTTACTATCTACCTACCTAATAATGGACATTTCTTTAAGAAAGTACAATATGATAAAAAAAAACGGCGTCAGTGACGGCTGTATCAAGATTGTTGTCATTTAATATGTAAAATTTTTGGGGATTGTAATCAGTGTTCATTTCCAAGCCAATTGGACGCCTTTTTTTCGATCATATGGTACTGTGGATTATATCAATTGCTTTTTACGTGTCTCTTTGATGAAAATAACATTTTAAGATTACTTTTGTTTGATGTTCAAATCATTTTGTAAGAATTTCCAGAGTTATGTGCATTTAACGAGGCAAAAACGACGTTAATATGAATCATTTTTGTTGTTTAAACTAAATCTACTTTTCTTTATTAGGGTATAAGTACATCAGCTGTCCGGTTTCGATTTGATGGAAATCCTATAAATGAAACGGACACCCCGACTTCCCTTGAAATGGACGAGGCTGATACAATTGAAGTTTATCAGCAACAAACTGGCGGGTACTGTTAAGCGTTTAATTTTATTATTATTTTAATGTATTCTTATATAACTCCTTAATACAACAAATTACATTCATTAAGTAGAGATGTATGTGAACCTAGATTAATGCAACTTTTATTTTCTTACTTTCAGAGTGTATATCTTGAAAACTTGAAGAAATACAAATTTTGATTATTTTAATTGTTAGGTCTGATTTTTTTGTAATAAGTTCAATGGAAATAGAATAAACAATTTTTGGTAAATATATACTTTCAATGTTTTATTTTTCTAGTGTAAAATTGAGTAAAAGATTTAAATTTTCTTGATTTGTTTTAGTTATAATTTAATAATCAACCATGTTAACTTTGGAATGATAATAATTGCAGTTTTAGGATATTCCAGTTGTATTATAATTTTTTTTGTTAAATCTCTACTAGGGGCTATGAAATGGTGCAAACAAATTATCATTCTTTATAAATAAGCTTATAATTTAAACAATGGAACAATTTTATCTTTTAAATAATTGTATTTTGTAGTGATGACCGACGGACAGGGGTAAAATAATGTACATATATGTGTGTTTGTTTTTATTTTTCAACTTATTTATTACAATAATTTAAATAAATGGATTTTTACACAAAAAATACATAAGAAAATTATCACAAACTTGACATTGCTTGTCATAGTAATCTAAAGCCTATTTCATGCACTTGCAAATTGCGAAATGCTTTCTGATTGGTCGCCTTCAAAGTGCAAGGCAAACAGAACGCATTTTGCAAATCAAGTGCACGAACTAGGCTTAAGTTTGTGATCTTAAGCTAACTTCACAGTGCACTATTGCCAACCTAACCCAGTTATTAAATCATTAAATCGCGCCAAATTTTCGAATTTAAATTAGATTACAACAGTTTTGAAATGTTTTGAAATACTCAAATCTGACTCAGATATACACAGTATGACCCTGGATCGCCTTTATAATAAGAAAAAAATTAAACTAATAACATTTTGAGAAAAATTGTTCGTCTATAATAGTTTACCTCGTTTATACATTTCCAAATTATACCGTTTAAGAGAAAAAAATAATGAAAATATAGTTTAATTTTCTTTTTTTAAAGTCCTAAAAATTAAAACGCGTTTCTATGATGACACAATTTCATTTTCATTCTTTGAATTTAATATAGTCTGATGGTTATTATTAATAATATAGACTATAGATGGTTATAATCAATTTTGACTATGCCATAATTATATATTTATATCATCTTTTGCTAATCTAGTATGTCAAAGAAGCTCAAAATTTACTTCAATGCTACGGGAACAGTGATGTTAAATTTTGTGCTATTTTAACATTTTAAGATAGCAAAAAATATGAAATTATTAAAGTTAATAACTGTTTATCAAAGGATGAAAACGAAATTATAATAACTATATTTTTTATTTTACTTTAAAAACGGTATGGAAATTTGGAATAGTGGTATAAACAAGATTAACCATAACAAGCAAAAACTTTTATAAAGAATGAATTTTTATCAAAAGGTTAATAATACGTTTTCCTCTTGTAAAGTCAATCCGTGGATATACTGTTTATAAAATGTGTTTAGAATTTCATGTAGAATTCAAAAATTAAAGAATTTAGAGGAATTCTAAATTCTAATTATAGGTTATTTTGTTATTTACAGGTTTTTTTTTATAGGTTATTTGCTATTTGGCAACCACTTCTGGCTAAACCGGAGTTGGCAGAAAGTATAAAAATTATTAATGAAAAAATAAAATTTAAAAGGAAATATACACCTAGAAATAAGCTTAACTTATAACATTCAAATTTATGTCTAAATTTAGATTCTAAATAATTATAATGAACCAGTTACTTGAGAAAGCCTATATGTATTAGATAAAAAATTGTCATTTTATAAGCCTTCCAAAAATATACAATATGATCGAAAAAAAAACGGCGTCAGCGATGGCTATGAAATAAAGATCGCTGTCATTTTATATGTAAAATTATATGGGGAATGTTACCGATGTTCATTTCCAGGCCAGCTGGATTCCGTTTCTTTCGATCATACGATTTCTATAATAATGTATTTATTGTACAGTATGATAAAAAACGGCATCAGCGATGGCTATAAAATGAAGATCGCTGTCATTTCGCATTTAAAATTATATGGGGAATGTCGTCGATCGTCATTCCCAAGCCATCTGGACGCCGTTTTTTTGTCGATCATACGGTATTAGAATATATAACACAAGTTCATAATATATTTTATTAAATATAAAAGACAGACTAATAGATGTATAATACACAGGTTGTGTCGAAAGTCGTTGGAGAATTGGAATTTTTTTTTTATTTATTTAGTACTAATACATTTTATATTTTAATTTTATTACGTTTTTTTCTTCTTGGACAATTTTTTTAAACCTTGTTCACCACTATCTTTAACTGTAAATACATCATCTCCAAACGAGCGAAAGTGAAGATTATAAAACACACCTAATGCTAAAACACTTATTAGTGAAATGATCACAATATATTCAGCTCTGTTTTCAAGTGGAACTCCACAAGCAGTATACCATCGAGCACCATTAGATGGAGGTTTCTTGCCAGGCAAACAGCTCCAATCAAAATATTTTTCATCATAATCGGTAGGACATAGGTATTTCCTTTTTGGTAATGCCTAGAAAAACCAAAAAAAAATGATATTGCAAAAACATTAATTTTTAGTATACAGTGTCGGCAAAAAAAAATCTGCGTTATTGTGATTTTTTTGGGCGATGGGGTATTAATATGGACTTAAATTCTGGTTGTTCAGTGCCGTTCTAATTTTATTTAAACAGTATAAAAATATAATGTAGACTCAATAATTTTTGGTTTTCTTTTACCTTTCTTTTTTCTTTTTCCAGAAAAACAACATAGTTCTGACAACGGGGCTTTAGGTTTGGTCTGTGAAGCCCCGTTCTCAGAACTTTGTAGTATCGCCAGCTATACGTCAAAGAACCAATGAGATTTGTACAAAATTCAAACAGCTGTCAATTTAAAATTTAGTACAGTTCTCAATTGCTTCAAGTGTCAACCAGCGTCGTCAGGGTAGCGCGTTCTAATACAACGTAGTTCTAAGAAGAGGGCTTGACACTACCTATATAATAAAAATAATCATACCTTTCCTGAAACCGTCATGATCGAAGTATATTCGTCGCAGGGACCGATAGTTTCTTTAACGCCTGTAGCTACTTCATTTTCCGGATTAAAGAAGATAGGCATTGATAGAAATGTCAGGTAGTGAATGACCAGGTGACCACAAAGTAACAAAGTGGCCCAGTGCACTTTCTGTTTATAGTTCTTGGCAAAGTCGTCGGTTTTTGGTGTGCGGTCTCCAGTCCATGTTATTAGTAGAAAAATGGTGAAAATAATAAAAAACGTTACTTCGGAATGGATTTTGTATCCGTCATGCAGCGGATGGTAGATCGGTATGAACAGTAAGATTCCTCCAAATGGTCCCAAAACACCAGCAAAGACAGTGGCTGCTAGTTCTCTTCCAAAACTGGAGATAACAGAAAATGTATTAGAGCTGATATGCAAAAAACACAAAGATGCGTCCATAAACTACATGGGTGCATTTGAGGATATTTTTAGTGTGACGTTGTAAGATGAATCGAAATGAAACTTCTAGAACGTGTATCTCCGAAACGAAAAAAACATTTTAGGACATCGTTTATACGAACTTTTTTACTTAACTTTATTTACAGAATATGCTACCGAAGTTTCCCGAATACAGTTCGGACCACCCTGTATATTATTATATAAAATTTCGACAAACGACATTCAACAAATGACAGAAAATACAATTTATCTGCGAATTAAAATGACAGACACCCGGAATTGTCCCTGTCAAGTGTCCTCTTGATGTACAGGGTGGGTCAAATTCGACGCTTTTAAATGGAAACACCCTTTTCTATAGGAGATAGACGAAAACTAATATCGGTGTCTGGAGCTCAATTTTCATCAAAAATATGATGGTGAAAACCGCACATCAATATCTGTTACCGTTTCGGAGTTACGGGGTGTTTTTCAAAAATGAGCATTTTTAACAAATCGTTGGAACTTTTTTACTATAGAAAATTTTGTATTTCTATGAAAACATTTCCAAAGCACCTTTTTACGTAGAATTTAATGGTATAAGTATATTTTTTTTTAAAATTAATAATTTAAGAGTTATCAAAAAAAAATGATTTTTTATTTGGGACACCCTCTATATTTTTAACTAACTGAACATAATTTAAAATTACCTTTCCAAAAATATAGCACACTTGATATTTTGTTATAATTTCCTTCGAAATACAGAATTTTTAAAAGTTCGCCACTTTTAACTAGTAGGCTTTGGACCCCTTATTGATGACATGCCTTTAATGGAACTCGAAAACACATTTTTTCTAGCAAGACGACGCAACGCCACTGAACGCTGAAGTTATCAGCAAATGTTTGCAGCTAATTTCAAGAATAATTGAATAGCTAACCAAGATCCCAGCCGTTGGCCGTCGAGGTCGCCTGACGACATGGATCTAATCCTATGGATATATTTGCGGAAGAATAAAAGTTCCTTATTCTTCCGTATAATCCTAGACAAGAATTAGAAACACTTAGCAGTTATGAGAGGGTATCTTTCACCCCCACTGAGTTAATGAATTCCGCGAGAAATGTTCAAAAACTGCCCCGTCTGTCCATAAAAGAAGACGGTCGATATGTCGAACACCTGTAGCAAAAACTCATGTCTTGGTTTGCTATTTATTTTTATTGTTATTAGATATAGTTTAAATGTGTTGATGTTGGTTAAATATATTTTAAATTGTTATAAAATTCTGCATCTCTCATAGCAAATATCATTTTCGTTTTAATTGATACTCACAGCTGGAATTTTTTTAGCATTACAGCCGGTGCCGTTCAAGCCTACTTATTTAAAGCGAGCGAATTTTTATATACTCTAGAATCGAGTAAAATATCAAGTGTGTTATATGGTGACAGAAAACAATTGAATACTTCAATTAATACCAATTTGTGTCATATATTAATATACCAAATCTCGATTTTTTATCTGAAAAAATAAAAAAAATATAGGGGTGAGCCACTTTTGAGACGCACCCGGTAGATATCAATTTAATTATTTTAAATAAAATATTTACATTTTTGTATTTTATTTTTTTAAATTTAATTTAATTTCACTTGACTACCTTTTTCCTGTGAGCCATTTTCCATTGCTCTGACACAGTTTTCTTCGAAGAAAATTGAACCAAAATGCAAAACTGGCAGCAAATGCGGCGTGGAAATAGTACGAGTTCCAAGGCACCCAATAATGTCGATCGTAGATGTTGGGATCGGTGTCATGCCAGAACCAATGGGCGAATCGTACGCTGACGATGTCATAGGGAATGTCAATCAACACGGCCCCCAAGCCTACTGCGAAAGGTTCCGCCCATGAGGGTAGTTTCATTTTTGATACGGCTATGAAGGAGTTGTATATAAAACAAGAATCTAAAAAATTCAGTTTCATAAAGAAATTGTTTTAAATATACTTGTAAGCCTTTATGGATAATACGTACTGTAGATAAATAATACGCACGAAACTTACATAGCATCATTATATGGAGAGGAAACCTTCGGCCAAAAAATATAATAAAAGTTTGTGAGTGCCAAAAGTTGTCTACATCTGGGCTAATATAGCACAAACATTCCACTGTAAATCCATGGATCAGGATGCCAAGCCATAGCCATGGTAATCTTCCACCTCTTGCAAATGCTTAAAAAATAATACATCTAAAAACAGTATTCTGAGATATACAGGGTGTCACAATATTCCGTGAGCATAGAACTACTACATATTTTTGGAATCAAAATAAGTTCATTGGACACAATTTGTGAAAAACAATATACGGGGTGTTGCATTAAAAAAATTAAGATATAACATTTTAAATATTGTGATAGCGACGCCATAAAAATAAACCTGTAGTAGGTATCACATAATGTAAATTTTCCTTCGCGGGTGTATTCTGATATCTTTGGTGTTCTTTTGAATGAATGTTCCTTTGATGAACTTTCCGGATATAGTGTTTTTAACCAAAGATTTAATAAATATGAAATAGAATGGCAACACCGCATAGTACTGGAAATAAAAAAAAACCTAAGGCTGCGTAATGTTTTTTGGGGACACCCTGTATACAACAATATTTTTAGGATATGCCTCTTTGTAAACCATGCAACACCTATACAGGGTCCGGCAATAGTGCGTCGGGCATCTGATCATCTGTAGCTCTGAGAATAAAAAACTTGGGAATTTTGTTTAAGTGCAAACCTAAAGTATGTACTAGGAATGTATTTCAGAAAAATATTTTAACTTCTTCTCTTTAAACGGTGGTTCAAAAAAGTGTGAGTGGATCGGGATGATTTTTTTTAAATCGAACACCCTGTATATTATTGCATTTTTGGCTTCCTTTCAGATCACTTTACATAATCCTAAGATATGAGTAAATACATTTCGATAATTTCAGAGATATTAATAAATAAATAAAAAAATTATATATTTTTTAGCCTTAAAAAATGATTAATAATACAAGAACTGTCCTAAAATCAAAACTATATTATATATTTACTTTAGATAGTCTGTACTTACTTTGCTATAAATATGGAAATCGTAAATCATACATGATGTTCAAAATTCTACGCCAAACTTTCTAAAATATAAAATATTTTTCCTTTGTTTTTTTAAATGGACACCCTGTATATTATTTTTTCAATAGATGGAGAATTAAAAAATGAACATTTTTTGCATTTAGAGTATTTCAAAATTTTTAACGGTTTCGCAGATATTCCCGGTTTTGTATTTCATATAGCATTTTCCACAATAAATTTTTATCAAAGCCACCCAATGATTTTTCTCTCGTATTTTACAATTGAAAGCGCCATATGAAATAATACTGCGTGTATCCGGAAAACTATTAAACATTTTGAAATACTTTAAATACAAAAAACGTTCATTTTTTAATTCTCCATCAACTAAAAAAATAATATACAACGTGTTCTATTTAAAAAAACCAAGAAAAATTATTTTATATTTTTGAAGGTTTGGCGTAAAATATTGAACATCCTGTATGATTTACGATTACCATATTTATAGTAAAGTAAGAACAGACCATCTAAAGTAAATATCTAATATAGTTTTGATTTCAGAACAGTTCTTGTATGTTTAATATTTATTTTAAGAAGGGTTGAAAAATATGTATATTTTTGTTTTATTTTTTAATTTATCTCTGAAACTATCGAAATATATTTACTCATATCATAAAATGCAATAATATACAGGGTGTTCCATTAAAAAACATAATACAGATCCACTCACACTTTATGAGCCTCCCCATAGAAGTTAAAATATTTTCCGGAAATACATCCTGGTACATACTTTAGGTCTGCACTTAAAACAAAATTCTCAAGTTTTTTATTTTAGGAGCTACAAATTGGTTTGGTTTGGTTTGATTTGGTGATATAGTGTTCATATTTAAACTTTTTAAATAAAATATGACAAAATTTATAAAAAACACGGTAAATATGCAACAAACATGACAAAACATAAGAAGTATTTCATAATAAAATTATAATTTGCATTTTGCATTCATTATTTAATTCATCACAAAAAAATTGATTAAGAAAATAATGAATGCAAATTTCATACTAATATTACGTATTTGCTGGAAAAAATGTTCTACTCGGCAACTATGTTTTATATCTTACCATGGATCAGCGTTGCCAGTCCTCCTAATAAATACACAATTTGGGAAATTACGTAAGTCGGTTGATATTTCCAGTGAACTCTGGGGTCCGTCACACTGATAAACCAATCTAAAAACTGCAATATATCGGTTAGATGATAAAGAGCCCATATTTATTTTATATTAAGATCCTAACCTATAATATCTTTAAGAAATTTTCATAAAATTTTTATTCCCTGATTTTTGATGACCTATTTTATCAATAATATTTCATTATTTTATGTACACTGAAAAACATTTTCAGTATTTAAATTATAAAAGATACCCTAAGTAAAATTACTTACCCCATTAAATTTTAGTTCTTGCAATTCAGTTCCTGGTGTTAAGAGATCCTCGCCAGACATGTTTATAATATGGAATGATTTATTTTCAGGACTAAAATTAATTTGAACCATTTTGATGCTGTTAATTTTAAGTAGCCATTCCAAAATATAACATGCCTACTTAAGTGTAGTGCCGATTAAATTTGCGATAACGGCAGATATCGACATTATTATAATGACGATATCTACACATATAATATGTGTAGTAACTATAAAATTTATATTTTTTAATCCTGTAAATAGTTGTTTTGTAATAGTTGTTTAAAGTAAAGATTTGAAATTAACGTCTCCTTTTTGCTGCCAGGGCTAATCTGGACGGGGTCTACTTTGTTTATGCGGAATCCGAACCGCGGCTTCGGCCATATCATGGTCAATGGCCTACCGACTTGGCAAGTGTCTAAATCGACTCTTACTCACGAGATATCCGATCTCATCCGGCCTCGAACCGGCGTGAATGGGCAGTGTGCGTCAATAGATTTTACACTTTTGCCTTTACGTCGCTTAACTTCGGTGTTCTAATGGGAACCGGTGTTTCAACGTAGCTGGGCCGTTGCCCTGTTTTTAATTAGAAAAAATGTATTAATTGATGTTACATTGTGTTCCAGCTACTAGTTGCTATAACATATTATTGAAGAATTTTATAAAAAATGCACAGGTGCTCTTTTGAAAATACCTATTACTATAACCATAGAGAGTATAACGACGATAGTACAAATAATGCCATTGTCAAAACATCTTAAAATTTTGATATCTTTATCATATAGTACAGATAATGATTACAAACACCTGCACTGTATTGCTAGAGTAACAGTGAATAGGTTTTGATAAAATAAATTATATCTGTCATTATATGACAATGTATAGGTTTTTAAATAAATGGAATTTAATATTTTAACATTTATTAATAGTAATATACAGTGTGTCCCAGGCTGAGCGAGCATTAGAAGTTTCACATTAATGTTTCACAATGAGCTCCATCAATTAAAAATATTTTCAATAAGACGGCACTTCCGGAATTCCGGAAATACCGGAAGTTGACAGCAACTTCCTTATTTTAAATGGGGACCTTCATTTTTTATTAAATGCTTAAATTCTCTGTAAAATTTTATGAATTTTCATATCAACTCTATACCTAACATTAATCGTTTCTGAGAAAAAACAAAGATTTAAAATTTTTGGAGGAAAAAACTGCCTGTCAAAAAAATTTGTATAGACTAAATGTCAAATTTAGTGATTACTACAGCCACTGTGACATAGAGAGAAGAGATGTGGCTATCTATTTCAAAAATTAAATTGTTTGAATGTCATATAATATTGGCCGTAGCTGTCATGGTTATGAGGTTATGATATGAGATAAAAAAATTATCATAAATCATTTTTTTCAAACGGAAACCCAGTTTTTTATTTCATTAGAGAAAAGGATTTTCAATTCGTTACTTTTTGATTATACATGTTCCTATAGGCACCTAAAATATTTTTTTTAAGTTATTTAAGATTTAGTTGTAAAGCGTAATTTTTTCTTGATTTTATCTAGCTTACAGTTGGGGATTGGAACCTTTGGTGTTACACAGCAAAATAAAACACTAAATCACCACAATACACCAAAACACTTTTACTTTTACACTGGACGCGCGTTTCGCTAACCATGTTAGCATCATCATAGTTCGATGTTTGATGATGCTAACATGGTTAGCGAAACGCGCGTCCAGTGTAAAAGTAAAAGTGTTTTGGTGTATTGTGGTGATTTAGTGTTCTATTTTATTATCTAGCCTCCTTTGACATTAAGTGTCAGAAAATCAGATAGTTTATTTCCTTCTGCCAACAAATTCATTATCTGAAATTCCTATATTATAAATACGGCTGCTAAAACTTTATAAAGTGTATGTATAAAAATATATCTCGTATTTTAGTGATATCTAATGGCATTATGACATAACCAGATATAGTTTTACATTGTTTGACGTTTAAAGTCATAGGCTACTGGTTAGCAAGCAGAAAAATATACGATTTAAAACTAAAGGTTAAATAACTTAAAAACAATTTATTTTAGGTATAGGAACATGTATAATCAAAAAGTAACGATTAAAAAACATTTCCACTGGTGAAATAAAAAAGTGGGTTTCCATTTGAAAAAAAAATTTATATATATTTATGATAATCGACTGATTTTTTTTTGGTTTTAAACAAAGAGCACGTGCCAACGGCCAACTGAAATGGCTACTTCATTAGCCACTTCATAGCAAACTTCAATTCGGCTCGTGTTCTTTTTGTTTAAAACCAAAAAATCTCTATAGTTTTTCGTCACAAGGAAGAGATCTAATTTCTAATGACCATCCTCTTATCTAGTCAGATCTAGCTAAAGAAGATTTGATTTGCACAGTCGACATTTTAAAAATGACAATCTACTTCGCAAAAAAGTTTCTAAATTGAGCCTTATTGATTAGGGCATAGTTAATTTCACATTTAGTTGGAGGATAAAAAATATGATATAATATTGCGTATGTAGTATATGGTTAACAAAGCGTTAGAATGGTAGAGCAATTTATCAGGGTTATAGGCATTTGCTGGAAAAAAGTCCATAGTAGAACATTGGCCAACATTTACGGCAGACCCAGAGACACTGCGCAGACCTGATATGCAAAAACAGAAAGACTGTCAAAGCTGTAGTGGGTCTACTAACAGGGCATTGTAAGCTTAATAAATATGGGATTGACACACGAAGCCATGTGCAGATTTTGTTAATCTGAAGAAAAAACGATAGAACACAATTTATGACCGTGCGACTGCAAATGTGCAGTCCTTTGGCAATAATAATCCATTGACAAAGAGCAATATGGAGGGAAGAATGTAACATAGAGATCAGAAGGAGCAGTCCTCGCAGTAATAGCCACTTCAAAAAAATCGAATATAATCTAAGTAAGGTGTATAACTCTTCGAACACTCCGCATTTGACATATCCAAATAAGAATTTTACATAAAACTCGATTTTATTAGTGTCATACAACACATCAAATTTAAATTAAAAAAGTCAATGTTGTGATTTTGGGTCACTTTATATAACTAACTTTGAAACACATCGAAACATTTTGTAGAAAAACTCAATTTTTAACAGAGACTCATATCCTGGTTTTATCATACTTATTTACACCTTGTATTAATATAATACCAGTAGTAGAGTAATACTTAAATAATACGAAAAAACGCATAATTTTTCGCCATATTGAGAACCTAAAAGAAAACTTTCAATGTTACTGTAAATGTCCGAAATGCGGTAAAACCTAGGATTTACCAAAAGCAAGTGGTAGTAAAAACCAACCAACCCCACCAAATAACCACATAACCAATGCATTAACACACCCCAAATAACCAGGCTAACCAATGCATTAACATCCTCCAAATATCCAGGCTAACCAATGCATTAACACCCTCCAAATAACCAGGCTAACCAGTGCATTAACACCCTCCAAATAACCAGGCTAACCTAATTAGTTAATGCTTTTGGTAAATTCTAGGTTTAGTGCGCTTATCCTAGGTTTTACCGCATTTCGGACATTTACAGTAGCATATACATACATTAAAAACATATCACAGACGGTCAAACGAAGCCCACCAGGAGAGTAAAATAGGGATTATAATTTATATAAAGAAAGCTTTAAAATACTTCAAAGTGTTTATTTAATTTCACAAAAACTTATAACCCTGTATAAATAAACTAATAACCTAACTAACTAAGTGCTTGATAAATAACTACCGATGTCACAACCAAAAATACGGACAATATTACTATCCAATATTTCCCAATGAAACTACTCTCTTCAACTTCTTCATTAATCCTTTTTCCTTTGGATTTCTTCTTTCCAATCAGTTTCTTCTCGTATTCTTCCAATTCTTTTTTATTTTTCAATTCTTGTTCTTTTAGTCTTATCGCTTCGTCCGCTTGTCTCTTCTTTCTCCCTTCTTCTTGTTTCTCTTTGCAAACTTCGTCGCACTCCGCTTTGGCTAAACCATTGCGAATAGCCTCGCACTGGAATTCTTTCTTTAATCTCTTGCAATTACAGGTTATTTTCATTTTTTTCTTGCACGATTCTGGATTAGGACACTGGCCAGAATGACAGTTGGACTTGCAGCGATGGCCGCAAGGATACTAAAATGGAAATATTAAATTAAAAAATAAATTATTAATTTAAATCGAACTCTATCATTAGGACTTGAAATACAGAATTTCTTAGCTATACAGAAGTGAAAGTAAGCGTCGACTCCTTTGAGGTATAAGTTGTACAAGGTGTTCCACTAAGAATAGCTCTCGGCTGTATCTCGGAAAGTTTAGCCGTAGAACCTGCGGAAAATGTATTTATAACTGAAGGGACCATGAAAAATTGCTGGAAATTATTCTCAAGTTTATAGAATGGCCGGTAGAGGGCTTAACTGCTATTGTAAATAAGAAAATGGATTTTTACAACATTCTGCCTAGATAAGGGGACTTATTTATTATATTTTTGCTAATATCTTTTGTTTGAAAAAATATGCCAAGATACTGTTTTCACTAACTTTTTAAACATTTATTCCTCTTCACTATCAGCTAAAATTAGGCAAAAAAAATAAAGTCCTCCTACTCTGGGTGCCTGCTCACCAAGGGATAGAAGGCAATGAAAAAGTAAATGATCTAGCTAGAAAAGGAGCGAACACTCCAACTAACTGGACTAGAACCGTTCTGTTTTCCAAACCAACTGAAAGACTCCATCCATAACTTGAAATAGGTGTCCTCTAACGGTCTAAGATACTCGAAAAAGTTCCTCAGAACGTACTACCGAGAAAAATTAAAGGTTTTCCTTGATTTAAGTAAAAACAATCAATCATCGGATTGGCACGGGGTTTCTAACAGGACACTGTCTCCTCAACGAACACCTCAGTAGGCTGAAGCTGAGAAACAACGGCGAATGCAGATTCTGTGGGGAAAATGCCCATTCGTGCCATGAACTTTGGTATGGCTGATGTCGAGGATGGAGAGCTGGCCTCTGTGGAGCCGTCTCAGATACTGGCTTTTGTTAAAGCCCTGAGACTGTATGATGAGTTATAACTTGTTATAACTCAAGAAAGGAACTATAACACACAATAGATCTGTAACGTCGCGGTGATTAACTCCCCTCCTAAACATTCTACATTATACATCAGGTAAAATTACATATACTATAACGGTTTTCTGCCTTTCATAAAAATTTTTTACACGTTCATCCATGATAGCAACTAATAGTCAACATTTTAAAATCGACGTCATTAAATTTATAGTCTAAAAATATTATGACAAATAAACTCATTTAAAATTTCGTCCAGTAGAAAATCGCCTGTGTCACTTCTGTATGGTAAGGCAATTCTGTGATTTTTGAATAAAAAGATTAAAGAAAGAGCGTGAAACAAATTTAGGTAGCGCGCGATGGGGGTTAAAAAAATATACTTCTAATAAAAATAAATAAGTTATAATAAATTACTTAATATCAAAAATATCAGATACGCTACTGAAACAACCAGGTGAAATTGAGGTATTCTAATTATTTTTGAGAAGTTGCAAATAAAAGTGAAAATGCAAGAAAATATATACAATTCATTCATTCATAAGTGAATTTCATAATTTACACGTAACGTGTATTATTTAGTTACTTACCAGTGATAATTCTACCCATATTTACCCCGATTATTGACCGAGATCTACCGCAGGCTGAAAAGAGATGAACACCCGGTATATTGAAATTTGGGTAAATACCCGATGTTTAACATCCGGTATATCCTACACCTTTTGGGTATATACCAGATATATATTCAAATTTTTTTATTATATCTATTGTGTATTTACCCACCGCCCATCACTGATGCTGCATAACTATTTTAGAGTTTTTTTGCAATTCGCAGTAATGTTACTGTTAATTTAAGTTCTGACACAATATCTCTTTGTAGATATACTACCTCGAAACAAAAGCGATTTGTTATTATTAGAATAAATAATATAAAATAATATCAGATACTCAGATAAGCACAATAAATCAGTAAGATTTCAAATCAAATTCAAATGTGTCAATTGAAACGTCAAACAGAAAAACTGTCAAAAATCATTAACTCGATTCCACCTCTAATGCAGAATGCTTTATTACCATGGAAAGCATTATAATCCTTCCTTAATCTTTGTATTCAAAGTATGTGACAATACTTATGGTAATCGCAAAACATTTTCGGATGCACGTCATCAGTCATATCGAAATTGATACTAAAGCTTATAAATAAACCTGACTAAATGAAATTTTGGCAAAATATGTTTAAATTTTTTGTATAATTTAATATACCGAGCAACTCTTCATTTTACTTTATAGAGCAAATGATTGTAACAGATATTTTATTTAGATTAAAGCTGCAAAAATTAGTTTAAAGCGATTTTTATTATCGGCATGTCGGTCACATTGCGCCGCGATCAGCAACGCTGTCGTTTATTATTTGACAATTATCATAATATCAGTCATTATTTTGTATAATATCGTGTTGTTGTTGAATCTTTGGGAGTAATTCTCGTTTTTTGCCGATTTTCAGTCTTTTTTTTTTAAATTGTACTTTTAAAGCACAAACAGTTCTTTTAAGAACTAAATTTTCGAGATTTTGTATTGCATTTCTTGAAAATATGCCGAAGCATTTAAACAGTCGAAGCAAAGAGCTTGTAGCTTTCCTGATAAATTATTTTGAACGAGAACGTAACAATAAAGGTCCTTTATTACCTTTGACTGCAGTCAGAGAAGTAAGTTTGATTGGTAAGCAAATTATAATACTTTCAAAGTTCAAAGTTATTTCTACTTATTTTGATTTGTAGCGAGTATATAAGCTGCTGCCTTAAATTTAAATATTGCTACTGTGAGTGTTAGTGACTTACTGCTAATAAATTAATTAATTACTAAAATATTAATTATCAAATTAAAAATAAAACGTAAACATCTTTAAAAAATGATATAATAAATATATTGTTTCCCAATTTTACCTTAAGATTCATCTCATAAATCCATTACAAACCGACAGCGCTGTCGCTATCGCTTGTTACTCAAAGTTCATCACGTGCATCGGAAATTGTTTTGCGATTACTTTAGTAAAAAAGTGTAAAGTATAATTTAGACTTACATTTTTAGGACACTGATTGCCACAACTTTGCAATTCCTCTCTTTTTTCGACATCTTGCCAACTCGAACAGGGCACATAAGGCTGGGTAAGGCCACAATGGCACTTTATCCTCAGCATTTGTTTGCACGGTGGACATGCATCCGGATGACACGGTTTCGGACAGGAATGCGCACACCCTTCTGGACGTGGTTTCGAACATGGATTTTCGCACGATTCACAGTTAGATCCAGCCTGAAAATCAATCAAGTACAATTTGTTCTAATTAATGTCGAAATTAGGTAAGTAGACTTACCAAAAGTTTATCGCTGGTGCATTCAACGACGTGACAAGACAATGAACAGGTATGATTGGTACATCGAAGTATTCTGCCGCATGGTCTGCCGCAGTTTGATGGTTTTGCTAAATGACAAGGCCATGGCGATGTCTCATGTTCTCCTATTTATTTATAAGGCGTCAAAAACATAAAAAAGTTATTTTGGGCGAGTTGATTATTAATATCGAGGATGAACGCCTAAAAGTCGGTAATGTAATACTCTAGTTTTTTTACTAGTTCTAGGATGTTGTTTTACTAGGAGTAAAGTTACTTAAAGCTTAAAAAAGATAAACCAGGAATGCAATAAACAACAAACTGATTAAATTACCGCTGGTGGTAGAGACAATTGACGAAATAAAGACAGCTGTTAGACGGTCTTACATATAGATTCTCATTGGTACCGCCGAACAACGAGGTAAACTTTTGAAGTATGGCAGTTGTTGCCAAATATACAGGGTGTCTCAGATTTTAATCGGGAAAATTTAATAGACGATAGAACTGGCAAAAATAAAACAAAAAGTTCATATCAACTTGTAAGATTTAAAGCTTCCTTTTCGAGATACAGGGTGTTAAAGTTACTTAAAAAAGAAATAAAATTTAAGATATTTGAAAAACGATTTAATCGATTTTGATATAACTTGACCCGTTTATAATACTTACTATGGGACTTAATTTGATGTAATTAGATTTAAGTTTAAAGGCCCGGGGCGGCGGTGGGGCATCATTGTTAAATTATTTTAAAGGAAAAAATAGGCACGCCACTGCTTTTTTAGAAGTTTAATATTATTTTTGGATTTAATAATTAAAAATATAATTTTTTTGTCTCCTGACTTTTTGGTAATTAATATTATAATTGGTATTCTAATGGTACCCTGTATCTCTAAAAGGAAGCTTTAAATCTTACAAGTTGATATGAACTTTTTGTTTTATTTTTTCAAGTTCTATCGTCTATTAAATTTTCCCGATTAAAATCTGAGACACCCTGTATAAAGAAGACAGCCGCTAGGTGGTATACTTTTTTTTTTAAAAACACAAATGGCGTCCCTATTTTACCAAATTTTATGTGATATTGCTTTCCCCAACGTAAGTTCCGCGATTAAGTATCGATGTCAAAATAGAACTACATTTCATTGCATATAAAACAAAAACATTACCTAATCGAGAAATACTGAGAGAATGGAGGGATTCAAAATAGTTATGATTTGGCGGTCTATGTACCTTAAAGTTAGGTTAATGTCTAGCTATAGCTCTAGCAATCAAAACAAAGTACAGGCGGGCAAAACTCACAGGTAAAACGTTACGCGTAGTTACGGGGTTTACTCACCCAAACAAGTCACCATGACGGGTTCCTTGCAATCTGGACACGGAAGGCATTTTCTTTCAAATTGTGGAGACGTTTGTTCCCAAGGCATTGTAGCCTTTTGTGCCTCAATTTTAACGACCACCGATGAGTGACAAACTGCCGTACACAAATGTGAGCAACTCGATCTGGACTTTTTGCAAGTTTGGCGACATGATGGGCAGTCACCGAAGTGACACTTGTGATTGTCGCGCTTTTGGTGATGACAATTGGGAGGTATTCTAAAATAAAAGTTATTTTACTATTAGTTTCACTAAATTTAAAAATAACACAACTGCTACTTATAATGTTGTAAAATACTCTAGAATTTATTTTTGGCGAACGCTCCCCGAGAATAAACGAGCAAAAATACAGATCATTAAAATTCTAAAGTACTTCTAGTTGTGTCACAAACTTCAAATTTTGAATGTCAGGTAGCTTTAAGTTTATAACGGAAGCAAAAATGAAAAATCTTGAAATATCCATAGGGATTAAAAGTTAGCTGTCTAGCCGCTACCGGCAACTGACTTTCCAAATCCTATGTTTTTGATGGGATTAACATTACATACTGGCAGTTTGCAAATTAAAATGGCAAATCAGTAGCTAAATCTATATAACTGAGGCACGATAGTATTTGGGAAATCCCCGAGCTCCTAATTTCGGCGACAAAGAACAAACCACAATTTTCCCGGTGTTATACGTTGTCTATATAAAATAGTGTATTTTAAATACTACAGAGAAAACACTAATTTTTTTAAAAAAGTTTATGCTATTTAGACTAAAAAATAAAAAAATCACTTTTAAAAATGTAAAAATGATGACGTTCGCGAACGTTCCCTCGTTATAAATGTTTTCGTTAAAACACTAGTTATACTTACTTGCATGGTTTAGTGCATTTTGGTGGCTTTACTTTATGCCTTTTGCCACAAGGTACTGTAATCTTAGTACCTCCACATCTGCAAGACAGTGTATTTGTTTGCTGACAAGGAAAACACGGACCTCTGTGACAAACAGACGGGCATTTGTGATTCCCACATTGCAATGTTTGTCCACAAGGTTTTTCACACGGTGGACAGTTCCCATCACAACACTAAATAACAAAACAATGATAATTTGGAAAAAAAATAAAATATTTTTATACCTTTCTGTTGCAAGGATGTTTATTGCAATCTTTCAATTTTTTACATTTTGTTTCGCACAGGTATTGCTTGCAACATTGAATTTCTTTGAAATGGTGATGACATCTGCAGGCCTTAGTTACCATTTCTAAACACTAAAACATCATTAAAATTTAATATATAAAAAAGACGTAAAAGTAGCCTTTGAAATGACAAGTGACGATCATTTTTGGACTGATCCCTGTATAACAGGCAGTGGCGATTGACCTGCTAAGATGTAGGGCTGCAAACAGTACAATATTTAAAATTTAAAGAAATAAAAGCTGCACTAATGTTATAAATTATTAATTATTAATAATACAATTTAACATGTACAGGGTGTCCCATTTTCGTGTGTTTTCAGGGTTTCTCGTTTAGGAGTAGAGATATAAAGATGCGGTTTTCACATCACTGTACTACTTTTTTATGAAACTAAAGATGCTACTTACACATTTGTCCAAGCCCTCTTAGTTCCTGAAATACAAGGCGAAATTGAAAATTTTGCATTTTCGACCCCCTTCTTTGAAATCAGTTATCTTATAACTTATCGAAAAGGTGAAAATAATAAAATAAAAATAAAATATATTAAAAATATAATACTCTACTATATATTTATTTTCAAAAACAACGTTAAAAATTATTTTTTTTACGTTTTAAGTTATTATTGCATATTAATAGTAAGTATTAGTGAATTCAAATAGCGGCCAATTAAGCACAAATCTAACAGTATTATCAGAAAACAATAAAAAAATATCCCCAATATACCAGGGTGTTTTTTAATATTACCACAAAATTCAGGGACGTGTTCCTTAGATGAAATGAAGCAAAAAAGTTCCTATGAACATAGATCCGGAAATGCATCGTTTCTTAGATACAGGGCGTTGAAAGTAAAAATATCATATTTGTATATGATTGAAAAAGGATACGCCACTGATTTTTTTAGAACATAAATTATTTTCATAATCTCTGGCCAGTTTTTAACAAAAACGGCCTCTTGACATTTTTCTGTCCGACGAACGGTTTTTGCGTGAGAAAATAAAATAAAATTATCTATAATACATTCCTAAAGATGCATAGGACATGTAGATAGGGTTATTTTATTTTTTACGCAAAAAGTTTTTGTCGAACAGAAAATTGTCGAGAGGCCTTTTTGTTAGAAACTAGTTGGAGATTACGAATATAATTTTTATTCTAGAAACAGCAAAGGTGTACCATTTTTTCGATCGAAAACAAATATGACAGCTTTCCCATTTTTCACTAATTTTATACGAAAATTTTCGAATTTTATTTAGCACCGATAACTCCTCTTTCTCAGATAGATGATCTACACCAATAACCTCAAGTAGCCAATTAAAAAGTGCATATACCTTTGGATTTTTTCGGGTTCTTGGCACCAAACTTCAAAAAGTGATCTACGGGTGACCGAACATGTCGCTGAGAACAAAAAAATATTGATAAAACTTGCAAATATATGCAAAACAAGAATATATCACAATTAATATAAAACCCTAAGTATATTTATAAAGCCAGCGGGAATCGATTTATATCACTTTTTGAATTTGAAAGAAGAATAAAAATAAATATTTTTGCACGGGCCACCAAACAATTATCTATATTATTAAAACCTTTCAAGTTTGAATGTGTTATATTTTTAATTAGTAGTACCAAGTAGTACACACACATACCTTGATCTACACCTTCCATGTTTTAAAATTTTTGAAATCTTTTGAACTAGCGAACACAAGTCAATAAAATTCACTTTATTACTGCGCGAATTTGCAAAGCAGTCCATACCTGTTTTAAATTGCTCGATACAATATTTTTTTTATCAAACATCAACTAATATAGCATTTCTGTTTGTGCATATTTTCTTAGTATGAGTTCTTATCTTTACAATATACATAAACAAATGTAAATTAGTACACCTAAGGAACCCGGATTTTTATCCACCTAGATTTCAAAAAATGACTATTGTGGGCCGGTTTGAATTAGGTAATAAAAACAATCAAATCCTAATTTATTTCACATCAAAATTTGGTTATTGGTCATTCCACGCTAGTTTCTGTGTGTAAAATTATTATTGCCCAAGTAAACATCAAAAATATCAATAACTTTGACAGCGTGTTATCTAAAAGCTGTAGAAGTTCATTTTCAGTGCAGTTTATTAAGATATCACAATGGAAAGCAAAATTATCTGGTTATAAATTAAATAAAATAAAATAATAATACTCTTTTAAACTAGGTTCATTTATGTTATGTTAAATAATGCATTTTTAACTTATTTATGAAACTAAGTATAGGGTATACCATATTTTTAGATAACCCATAACAAGACAAGTAAAATAAAAATATAATACACAGGGTGTCCCATTAAAAAAAACATAAGTTTGGTAAAAAACATTAAAAAAACAATTTGGAGTCTTTTTGTTTTTTTTTTTTATTTGGGTCAATTGATGTCGCTATATCAAGCTCATATATATATCAAGCTACTGTAGGAAACTCCCAATTAATATTTATATATACGGGGTGCGTCTCAAAAGTGGCTCACCTCTATAACCATTTTTTATTTTTCCAGATAAAAAAGCTTGATTCGGTATGTTAGCATATGATATAAATTAGGATTGATTGACGTATTCAATTATTTTCTGTCACTTCCTATTTCACCGGAAATGACTACAACTTTTGATTTTTAAATGACACCCTCGGTATTTTTCTACTTTATTTGATAGAAAATGACACTTTGAATAAAATGATATGTCACAGGTCAACTTTTGACATTTTCGCATATGGTTTATTTGAAATTGTAACATGCGGTTCATAACAACAATTTGACTCGAAATATCAAGTATGTGGTATCAAATTATTCGTAAAAAAATGCTTTTTCCAAAAATGCTAATGAGCCACCCTTGTTCCATTTGAAAAAATTGGAATATCATTAAAAATACGATTTGGGCATCTTTTAACTGGCCAGGACAAGACACTAAAACATTAGATGATCAAATCTTGGTTTTAGTTCTAGATTGAAATTTAAAATACGATGTTTTTTAATTGAATATGTCAAAAGTTGACATACATTTGATATGTTATTCTATACGGAGTGACATTTTCTACCGAATAAAGTAAATAAATATCGAGGGTGTCATTTAAAAATCAAAAGTTGTAGTCATTTCTGGTGAAACAGGAAGTGACAGAAAACAGTAATTGAATACGTCAATCAATCTTAATTTATGTCATATACTAACATAACAAATCTCGTTCTTTTATCTGACAAAATAAAAAAAGTTATAGGGGTGACTGGGTATATTATTTACATAATTTTTGTGAAAACGTTTTACTTTTTACCAAATTAAATATTAGGTAATTTTGGACATCTTTTTAAGTAAACTATTGATAAAAATTATACATTTGGGCCAACAGAAATTGTCATCAATCTTCATTTCAAAGGCCACTGTGAAGCCAGTTTTTATCGAACTCTAAGCTAGCATTAAAACTTAATTTTTTTTGATAAAAATACTAAAATACATATTTTGACTACTTTTAAAATTCATGTTTTCACAGATAAAAACTCACCAAACCACACTTATCCTTATGACATCTGAAATTACAAGTATGTATTCCACATTCCAATAATTTCCCACAAGTGTCTGGACAAGTGGGTGTACTTTCAGTACAAGGCAGTTGATATTTTGTCTTGCCACAAGGACAAGTTCTTGGTTTTGTCAAAGGACATGTATCACAAACTCCCGCATGACAAACATTTTCGCATTTGTGTTTACCACAATCAAGAGGTTTTTCGCAAACCTATAATTCAAATACATATAAAATAAATTTGAACAAATATAATTAGTTCACCTTATCACATTGCCAAATGGGCGAATTACAATCCCTTAATTTCTGTTGTCCTCCACACATACACTTTTGTATACTCTTTTTTAAACAGTCCTTGCAAGTACCTTCGTGACATGGCTCCCTACAGGCATGCTTATTACAGGATAAGGTTTTGGCACAGGGTTTGCCACATGACCATCCTCTTAAACTGCATCTTTTGGTCACGGGTTCATTCGAGCCACAATAACAAGAAACATTGACAGTTACAGGACATGGTGGACATGGTCCTAAAAACAGCGGTTAAAGAGATAAAATAAAAAATAAATGATTTTTTTTACCTGGATGACATAATAAAAGACACTTGTGGCCACAACGAGGTATTAACTCTTTTTGACATAGTTCACCACAACTATGCGGTACTAAGAACGGTTGATACTTTGGGTTTTCAGATCTTCCACAAAAACAAACGTATTTGTCAGGAATTTGGTTTGGGTTGTATTCATATCGACATTTTGGACAGCACCAGAATAAAGACTTTACAGTCGACAAAGTCTGATCCTCTATTCTTTGTTTTAATTGAATAACAGTATCCTTTGACCATCTTTGAATGCAATTTAAGTGAAATCCACCAAAACAATTGTTACATGTCCATATCTATAACAATGTTCTCATTAGTACATAATAACTAGACTTAATATATGTATATTAAAAACCTGATCATCTCTTTTAATTCTGGAGATACATATAAGGCAGGTTATTGCTCCTGATAAAACCGATTCTTCAATAAATGTTTGTGTTTTAAGAATCTGGTCATTTGTCCCACCAGTCTTAGAGTACTGTTTAAGAATACTCTCTAAAATAGATAAAAACAACTATATATTTTCATGATAAAGAATTAGTTTTAAAAACAACTAAATATACCAATTAGATCTGTAGAATCTATATCTTCTTCATCAGAAGATGATTCGTAATCCTTAATATGTTTCTTAACCGCATTCTGTAACTTAGCTTGAGCTTCTTTAAATTTGTGTTCAGCTGTAGCACTTAAACCAGGTCCAACATTTGTAGAATCCTTCAACACTTTTTTCTGTTTCTGATTGGAGTTATTTTGCTTCCAAGGATTTGGTTTTGCTTTATTGCTCATTTCTAACAAAAGTATTGTTAGGTTAGATGTTCTAGATCTTTTTTACTATTCTAATAAAATCGAACACCTATATAATACAATTATAATAGTTTATCCTTAACAAATTGAGTCCCCGTACTGTACCGCAAAGAAGTCCAACGCGGACCAACCAGGTCCAACGTAACAGAAATCACCATACACATCACAAATCACAACAATTTTTTGTAAATTTAAAAATTAAAAGGAATTTTCATTTAAATGAAAGAAATATTGTTAGTTGCCTAACCAAAAATATGAAGAAATTTAAATTCCTTTTAAAATTGGAAATGGAGTATAAAGAAACGATTTACTAGTTGCCTACCTAAGAATCCCAGTCGATTATTTCTTTTAGTTAATTTGTCTTTTAATATTCACTCATATCAGTATACTGAGTATAATTTTTTATGAATTATATTTTAATTTTGATTGAGTTTTTTTTAACTTTTTTGTTATTTATTACAAAATATATACTAGTTTTTCTTAAATTATTAGTAACTTTTATAATTCAGAGATGCCGCCAGTGAGAATAGCTATCTTTATTTATGAGACAATATTATTTAGTGATTTAAATAAATGATCCTTCGCATTGATCCTTCTGATCGTTCAGATGGGAGATGATGATTGGGATTTAACAGAATTTTTTCTGAAGCCTGTACCCATATTGTTACGACTATGGCAGGCAATCCTCATCTGATCCCACCAATACATTGAAGGATCCTTTTTAAGTTATAAACAATTAGAGGTGGGCCAGTCTGCGATTTTTGTGGAGCTGCTAGAGGTGGGCCAGTCTGCGATTTTTGTGGAGCTGCTACGCTCTGCGACTGCTCCAATAAAAGCACTGTGACAAGTAGCAGCGATTTTTCGGAGCAATTAACCTATAAATTAAAAATGTAGTTTTATATGTTAATTGCTCCGAAAAATCGCACTCGGTGTTCGGCACCGTTCGTTGCATTCATTGGCAAGAGGCAAGGAATGCATCGTGCAGCATAATGCATATGGGAAATGGGAATACATGCTCTCTACAATCATATCAGAGGGAGCTCAACTGACTCGAGGGATCATGTAAGTAATATCTCTAAGCTCGAGGGATCATGTAATGCTGATGCAATGCATAGTGTGATGATTGTGATGTGACGACGGAATACGTTGTGATGTGACGACGAATGGAATATGGTTATCTTTTGAATCTTTTCTCTGTCAGTCTAATCACTGATCACAGGGGCACTCACCACCATCCGTCATTATTGCAAATTCCAACATGATTATAACATTGGCAAGGAATGCATGATCTCTAGGATCATATCAGATATCAGAGGAAGCTCAAGGGATCATGTAATGCATAATGTGATGACTGTGATGTGACGATAATGTGGATCTTTTGTAACTTTTCTCCGATGATGATCCTTAGTGCCTAATATATTCAAACGAGCCTTCAGTCTAATCACAGGTCTCATACATTTAAATTAAATAATGATGGCTCAAAAAATGACAAAGTTGAGTTGGGTCAGTGATCAGAGTTTTCGATTTTTTATACCTACACACCGTGCGATTCGAAAGTTTTCTGATCAAATGATCTTTGGGACTATGAGAGTAGTCTGGTTAAATATTCTTTATCTATGATGAGAGTGTAAAACCGAGAAAAATGCAGTGGTTCTCAAAATTTAAGTAAAATAACTCGGTTATTTTGCACTTTAACACAAAACGGCAAAGAGAAAATATTATGTTTCTTTTATCGAGATCTACCAGCCCTGTGTGAAAATATTTGTACTTATTTAAGACATCCGTATGCTAGGTATTTTCACACTTTATTCCTTTAATTTCTATTGCATAATAATGTTCAATACGTCATGGATATGCAGTAGTCATCAATTATTACAAAAATAAGCTGGAAGAATGCGAAAGATGACGGAGTTTCAAACCTATTTTTTTTGAAAAATTAATTTTTTGTATAATTTTTTTTGCGTAAGTTTTTATCGATATTTTAATAGTAGTATTCTGTTCTTCAGGGCAATTCAATACATCAGATATAATTATTAAAATTAATCCAGCCGTTCTTGAGTTTTAAATAGCGTAACTAACCCGACATTGCTTTATACAGGGTGGTCCGAACTGTATTCCGGAAACTTCGGCAGCATGTCCTGCTGATAAGTATAAAAGTTCGTATAAATGTATATCCTAAAATGCTTAGTTTCGGAGATACATTGTGTAAAAGTTTCATATATATTTCGATTTTTTCCAAATAGTTTATTCAGTAACGTCCATATTTGGATGAAAATTAGTGTCTGGGAGTTTTTTGACATGAGAAATTTTATTTTGATGTCCAGGGGCGGATACAGGAATTTATTTTAGGGGGGCTCAAATAAAAATTAATGTAGAATATGGTATTTAGGGCGCCATTTTTAACCCAAAAGCTTAATATTTAACCCAATTTATAGATTTTAGTGGGGGCCCGGGCCCCATAGGCCCCCCCTCTGTATCCGCCACTGTTGATGTCAATATGACTCCTACCTATAGGGGGCGTCATCTACATGTGTTTTAACTGTTCTGAGGTGTAATAACTTTTCGTCCGTACCTGAATAAAACTGCTGTGTGAAAAAATATACATTTCCGTGATTTTTTACTTAAAAAATGTCTCTTGGTAAAAATCGCTACGCGCAACCGTTCTTAAGATATTTAGAATGGAAATAGTCAATACGTGTCATTATTGACTAAAAATAAACATATGTTGAGTAAATAGTTATTATTTGAATGAAATTATAAATTTGGGAACATTTTATTTTTTAAATTAATCATAAATTTTCGTTCGAAAAAATGATGATAAAACAGTTTCTATTGAATTTTTGGCACAAAAACATTTCAAATTTATGATTTCAATCTTATAGTCAACAAGTTTAATTTATGTCAATTATGACACGTATTGATAATTTCGATTCGAAATATCTCGAGACCCATTACTCGCAGCGATTTTTACCAAGAGACCTTTTTAACGTAAAAAACGTCGTAAATGTATATTTTTTACTTACTCGTTTTATATAGGTGCCAAACTAGTTAAAAAAATGTAGGTGGTGCCCTCTACAAGTAGGAGTCATATTGACATGAAAATAAAATTTCTCATGTCAAAAAACTCCCTGACACCAATTTTCATCCAAATATTGACGTTACTTCAGAAATTATTTGGAAAAAATCGAAATAAAAATGAAATTTCTACACCCTGTATCTCCGAAACCAAGCATTTTAGGACACACATTTACACAAACTCTTTTACTTATTGTTATCTGCAGAATATGCTGCCGAAGTTTCCGGAATACAATTCGATTCGGACCACCCTGTATATTTCAATTTGATTAACTATTATGGTAACTTCTTCACAGTTTTTTTTCCTTCACCAACGACACCCGCTTTATAAAAATAGAACTTGTAATCAATTACGCTGATCTATATCATACACCCGAACTCCAGGAAACATGGAAGATTACAGAAGTCCGCGCCTCTTGTGGGACGAGCTTTAGACCTACGCGAAGCGACAAATTCTTCCGATTCTTCCCCGTTTCCTGCGTCTTTGTCGGCATTTTCCAGGTGGGAAAAGTATGGCACGGGTCGCGCTCGTTAGACACGGATTATTGGCCACACTTGCGGGATACTCTATATCGATTTATCTTAACAGTGTGTGGTAAGATTTGCGGGATGATCTGTCGGTAGGTGCTTATAATATATTTAAAGAATCAGTACTCCTGGGGAAATTAGTCATCTTGTTTCCTGAAAAAGGCCTGGCTAATTTGCCACTGAAACAGAAATGTAAAAAATAAAAAAAAAATACAAACAAACATTTTTTTGTAAAAGGTCAAAGGAAGAAAAAATGACAACGTGTAGATCAGATGAGTGTGCCACAAATCGAAATATATGTATTGATGTACTGGGATGGCTAGACCGTAGACGGTAAATAATAATAAATATTTAAGTTTATACAGGGTGTTTCAAAAAACATGTGCCATCTCTCGTAGGGAGATTCCTCAGGTAAAAAGAAGATTTATTTTTTATATTAATATATTGATTCGATTCTGCTTTGTTTTGTACTTACAGGGGGTTAAAAGCGCTTTTAATGATTCTTATGAAATTTTGACTGTAAAAGTTACTATAAGTGCGAGATATTATAATGCTAAAAAAGTGTCGGCAAATTCAGCAGGGACGTGCACATTTGGGCTATCGCTGGAATATTTTGTTAAAAAAAAACAAGTGCGCCACTGCCCTTTTTTTTATCGTGTTACAAAAATTGTCGATTTCGATCTCCTTGATGAAATAAACGCAATTTTATTGATTTGCCTTAATACAAGTCTAATAGCAATTTTTAAAAATTTCTTGTGTCAAACTGTTAAATAAGTTCTTATTGAATCTTCTTCAAAAAATATGAAAAAAGTTCTTATAAATATGGGCGAAAATGTATAGTTTTAAAGTTACAGGGTGATATAAAACTTTCAAAAAATAGTCTTTTGTAATTATCTTAAATACTATTAATTTTGTTTTAATTTGCTGTAGGTAGTACCTTTGGTAGTACCCTTGTATATGAAATTTTAAAGTAGCTCAACCTAAGACGTTTATGGATGTAAAACACCAGATGGCGGGGCGTATTTCACGGTCTTTTACTACAGAAAAATATTTTTTGTTACTCTGAATTTTGAGGCGACCAATAAAAACAGAGAAAATAAAAATCGATAATTTTCGGACTGTGCCAATTGGTTACTAATCGCCCAGATACTTTTTGTCTATTAGATATGCTATAAATCCTGGTAATTATACAATTCGACCATTGTAAATACCCGACAAATTCCGCAAGGCCGACGATGTCGATGCTTTTCACTGATAAGAAAAAAAAAATGTTTGTTTAGATAATTTTCCAGATATTTTTTTCTTTCTGAATGCATATTTTTAAAGTATTTTATATTCTTGGTCCGCTTGATCTATTATACTGGTCGCACGTATCGAAGTTCTGTTTCTTCTAGTTTTAAAAAATGTTCTTATTTCTTTGTAGTTGTAGTGGTTGTAGTGTAAAATTAGATTAATTTTATTAAGTATAATTATAATGTTTAGTGTAGAATACCAGAAATAGTTTAGTAGTGTTTTTATAGTTTATTATTTTGTAGTTAAGTAGTAGGTGAAGGGATAATTTGGTTATTTTTTCTTTTTGTTTGATTAATTAGT